GCTTGCAATTGGACCACGGTCTCCACCTGCGCCATCTTGATGTACTGCTCGAAGGCTTGCCTCACATCGGGGTCCTCCCTCGCCACCGCGAGCAAAGCGAGAGCGAAGCTCAGAAGCAACCACGCCATGGCTTTGGTTGCTGGAACGGAGGATCTGGAACCCACTAAAACTTGAGCCAAAATGGCTACGGTTTAGGGTTTAGGGTTTAGGGTTTAGGGTTTAGGGTTTAGGGTTGAGGGTTTAGGCTTCAGGGTTTCGGTTTCGGAAGATTATATGGTATGATATACGTACGTCTGGAGTGCACAACTCATAGTGTAAGGCCTTTTTAAAGATTCACTTGAAGGATCCTTGTAGGTTTTGTTTTTTGGTCAAGCTTGGGAGAAGCTCATGAGTCTCGAGGCTACTTAAAGGTTCATGGGACTTAGTAACCAGGGTCTTTTTCAATAAGGTAACGATACTTATAATTAGTTATAGCCCCAATTAGGCTACTTATAACTGTACTTAAGAAGTCCCATGAACCTCCAAGTAGAGAGGTTTTGGGGCTCTTGCTTGGGAGGCTCATGGTTGGTGCAGATGAAGCTTGCAGTTTATCGTACCCTTATGGCCTCCATGTGACATAGTTGACTACAGAGCATAGAAGTAAGACGTAAGGCTTCGGATATTCCCCTCGGACCATGAGCCAGCAGACATTGTGACATCGGAAGGATGCGAACATCCCTGAACTAATATAGGGGCCTGAACAATTAGAAATTAGAACAGGGTTTGGGGTATATTATACTATATTTTTCGTAAGGAACCTTCAAAACCCTATTCTAATTATTAAGGCCCCTACATTAAGCGGATGCGAACGTCGGAAGAACGCAAGCGCTCGAAGAAGCTGCCCAGGTACCAGTGGCTCAGGTGGGGCCGTAGCAGGTGCTGTGAAGGCGGCATCCTTCTCCTCCTGCGAACAGGAACTGAAGCTAGCACAGGGGGCCGTAAGCAGAGGTGGGTATGTGATACTATAACTCTAAAACCCAAACCCTAACTAGTAGGGATTATAAGAGGATCATCGCCAAGTCTTCGGATCCCAATTTCTTATGCTGCAAGCGTTTCCTTGAGCTCCTCCCAGCCCAACGTTCACAGCGTTCTGTAGGCTCCTAATTACGAAACCTCCGGCCCCAAAGGACGAGGATCCGGGTTCAGAGCCCGAATAAACCCTCGGGTTCCAGGTTTGCGAGTTTCAGCAAAGAGAAGACCGCTTGCAATATAGAGAGACACCCTAAATAGTGGGATCCTTGTAAGAAGGAGCCTTATGTAAGATAGCTCCCGCACTTTCAGATTGAGGATCGATCGGTGGACCCCACCTCTTCATGATGCTTTCATTGGGCCTGGCTTTCTTTCTTTTGAGGAGCCCTTTTCCGGGTCTGGGGGTTTTTGGCGCAGGGGTTTTTGGGAATTTCAGGACGACTGCTTAGCATCTAAGGCTCAACTCTAGGGTCGGTGCCCCGCGAGTTTTGTTTTAATGGCCTTAGCGGCCTTGATCGTTAGAAGAACGTGTTGGGGGTACATGGGAGCATGATTATAGTAAGGAGCCTTGACGGAACAGTGGTGGTACTTATCTAGGTCCCAACAATGCTTAAAGGTTCATGGGACTTAGTAGCTAGGGTACTTAATAAGGTAACTCTACTTATAACTACTTATAACCCCAATTGAGATACTTATGCCTGTACTTAATAAGTCCCATGAACCTCCATGTAGAGCCTGAGCCAAAAGAGCCCGTTCAGGACAGTTCGTCCTTCTCCAGGGCACAGAGGGCAGCAGCCACATGCTTGCCTTATCATCCCCTAAACCCCAAACCCTAAACCCTAAACCCTAAACCGTGATTATCAGACTGCCGGTGTGCCCACGGGTCTTTGGGAGGGTTTTAGAAGGGTACTATACGGGTTTCTATCTGGGTACCATAGGGATGCTATGAGGCTACTGTCAGCATACGACAAAGGGACGATGAAGGTGCCATAAAAGTGCTATAGGACCAGCTTATGTATGGCCATGGAGCTTCGATGTCCTGGTCTACCGTGGGAAACAAGCAGATTTCATCAGGGTGTGCGTGGAATATGAGGGCCTATATAACTAGAAGATTGCGTGTTTCAGGGGGAAGGATATTATAGCATAGTTCAAACACGGACTACAAGGGAATAGTATGCCTAATTCCCACAATAGGGAGACGGTGACTTGAAATTCGGAAAGTCACTGGTCCGCAATTGAGTTTCAACTTGGTGAAGGTGGGTTTTCAGCTAAGCAGTCGAGCACGACCCCCCATGACTCCGGACCTTAAGTGCCAATTCAGTTTCAAGCATTTTCAGCCGACAACAGGAGTAGGGTCCACTTCTTCATGGTGCATGACATGTGTAGACTCGCATGCCTTATCAGCTGTATCTACCAGGACCTGAAAGCGCAAGCGGTGCACTTCTCCCGCTCTGCACCCTATACTTATGCCCTAGAACTAGTTCTTCACCGGCTTGTGTATCCTGTTGTCAAGGCACTCGCCGGCCAAAACACAGATCTCAAGTCACACAGATGCGATCACCTATTCCTGAAGCTCTTTCAATTCGAAACCCATTCACTCTGCATGATCCGAAACTCAAAACGCCTTTGGGTCACAAGCTCACACAAAGGGAAATTCTGAAGCTGCAGCTAAGCGTAAATTATGCACTTTTCCTCGGGTACTCTTGCTAGGTTGGCCCCTCAAAGCTTCTGAGAAATATTCGTAAATTAGATCTTCTTAAGCCCAATAAGGGAAAATATAACATGTCCCAAAAGGCCTAATTACCTAGCTTGGACAGCTGCAAGCCGGGTGGCAATGGCCTTGCAACCGACAACTGCATTCTGCACCGAGGTCGTCCTCGGCTTGGCGCTCTTCCCCAAGCCACGCTGGCCACGCCATCGGTTAGGGTTTAAGGCTCTAGCGCCGCTAACAAATCCTAAACCCATGTGGTGTGATTCGCTTAAGTTTAAGGGTTTCACTAGACCCAAAACCCCAAACCTTCCTAACATGCCGTAAGGCAAAGTCAGAGAAACCTGAGACTAGGAGCCCGAACCTTAAAGCCTCTGTAAACCCAAAGGCCGTCACGGGGGCTCAGTAAACATTAACTGTAGCACATTCGGAAGCTGACTTGAAAGAGAGCTTCGCAGGCTCTCTTTTCAATGTTCAGGTGCTGGACAGTACGCCTGTGTGCTGATGTGCCAATAGGCGACGATGAATTCGGCGCGTAATTGTTGCAGGGGCTGTCGGATGCTCAGGAGAAGGAAATTGCAGCGGATTGGGCTAACTTCACCGCCCTACTCTCATCATCGATAAGGTGCATCGTTAGAAGTGGGGCAAAACTGTAGGTATTCTAGTATAGCTGCCATATGTCGGACCTTGTTGTTGAACCTAGACACTACGTCCCCGCCAACGAAGCCACTAAGCTACGTACGTGCCGGCCTCGCGTGATTCAACTACGGGCCAGTGCAGACACCTCCGGCCCTCGTCCTTGCTGAGAATAAGCACGGAAATCTAATATTATACTATGACTATGATATACCTTAGTACACACTATACTATATAATATATAGAATATAGTCTGCACGCTGATTGAGGGCCTGGCCCCCACCTCCTCGACTGAGACAGCAGGTTCCCAACCGAAACTGTGGGCCGGGAATGCGATTTCCGAGCTGGGATTCACACACCTTAAGAACCCAAAACCTACTTTTTGCAGGGTCCCTATAAATCCAATATTAGGGCTTATAATAAGAACCTACAAAAAAGTGGGTTTTGGGTTCTTAAGGTAGAAGCGTGACCCCGGATAAAGATCATGCAAGCAGCCGAGAGCTGGAGTGTCACCTGGAGACTTCAACTTCGCCCCCAACGGATGTGCAGCCCCAAACCTGTTGTCTTGTGAATGCATAGGCGCACGTGTGTGCATGTGTCTACATATATATATATATATATATACACATCTTTCTATCTCACATATATCTATATATAGTTTGTATATGCAGTTACAATTGCATGCAATATTCTCTAGTAGAGTGTCTGTTTGTGCTTTAGCGTGGACCAAACCCGCAACCACGAATCGCAGATCTGCAACGCCCTGACCCAAAAGACCGATATAGTACCCACCTAGAACCCTTGCAGAACCGTCATAGAATAGTACCGTCCTATTGTCCTTATAGAACCGCTGTAGAACCCCATGTAGGACTCTTATAGAACCCTTATAGAACCCCTAAACCCCGAAACCCCAAACCCTAAACCCTTAGTACTCTGGTAGAACCCTTATAGAACCTCTAAACCCTAAACTCTAAACCCTTACTTAGTACTCTTTAGAATCCCTGAGGCCTCAACCCTTAGTACTCTTATAGAACCCGAGTTCGTTTTGCCTTATGGTCCTCCCCACGCCCCACCTGCTCGGGAGGTCCGAAGGGGCCGCGCACCTCGAAGAGCCTCCTTGGCACTACATCTCTCTTGGGTAAGGGTATATTAAGTTTTTGTTTGACACCTTTTTCCGTCTGCAATTTACACACAGTCGGAGAGCCCGTTAGGGCAGGCAAACTATATTAGGGCTTAGGGTTTAGGGTTTTGGGCTGTATTCTTGGACTTTTGTTGTGGACTTAGTGGGGGCTTAGGAATTCTTGTCAGAGACGATGAGAGTTCTACTTTATGTGTGCTGTGGGCTGCACGTGGTGCCAGAGTTGTGAGTTGATTTTAAGCGCCGGCAATTTCTACATCGTAAATTGAAAACGGTGTCTTGGGGTACCCTACAGTATATTTATATGGGGACTACAAGGGATATTCTCACCGACTAGTCTGTCGTCAGGCATCCTCAGGGGCTCAAGGGGGCAAACCTCAAATCTAGGCCCCAAAACCTGAAACCCAATGTCCAACCTGCCTCGCCCCGGACCGCCGCGTGGGCGCCGTCGAGGCCGTGGCGGGCACGGTAGGAGCAGCGGAAGCCTCGCCTCCAGATTTCTGTTCATCGCCCAAGCCCCCTTGTAACGGACGGGCCAGAAGAGCCTCAATCAGTTCGGTTCCAGTAGTGCACTGAATCCCTGCTTTGGTTTCATGTTGGGGCCCCGAGAACTTGTAAGCTGTGCACGAGCCGCAAACAAGGAAGGCCACAAAACCCCAAATCCAGGCACCATGGCGAACCTTCACCGAAACGAACCCAACAGGGGACTCCATAGAGCAAGCCACACCGCAAGTCAGGATCCCCAAGCCCAGCGCCCCTAAGCCCCTTTCAACTTTAAACCACAAAACCCCAACAAACCTCTTAAACCGGGACTCCCTGAAGCAAGGGAATTCGTGGCAACAAGGGCTAGCGAGGACTGCCAGTCAACCGGGGCTCAAAGCCTCTTGAGATGCCATGCTACTGATACACGAAACCATGCATGTCTTTCATGAACCCGAACATTCCGCATCATGGAAAATGCAAGCTCTTGTCTGTGAGCGGCATGTTTCGCAGGGAAGAACCCCTACACGCCTAAACCCTAAACCCTAAACCCTAAACCCTAAATCCGAAACCCTAAACCCTAAACCCTAAAGCCCCAAACCCAAAAGCTTCAGACGTGCGGTCTTTGGGGGGTGCTATGACGCGGCACAACTCCTGAGCCTTACAGTCACCCCCGCCACACTCCCGGGCCTCCTTAAAGGCTCATGGGACTTAGTAACTAGGGTTATAGGGCTTAGGGTTTAGGGTTTAAGGGTTTAGGGTTTAGGGTTTAGGGTTTAGGGTTTAGGGTTTAAGGGTTAAGGGTTAAGGGTTAGGGTTATAGACAAGGTAACTATACTTATAACTTATAACCCCAATTAGGGTACTTATAACTGTACTTATTTGCGTCCCATGAGCCTCCAAGCCCTGTGTCCCTGGGGACGACCGACCCATCCTGCGTGAAGGTTCAGAGTTCCGGGGTTTAGGGTTTAGGGTTTAGAGTTTAGGGTTTAGGGTTCAGAGTTTCGGGGTTCAGGTTTACCTTAATCTACCAAAACCTACTTTTGTGTCGGTTCCTATTATAGTTTAGGGTTCAGGGTTTAGGGTTTAAGGTTACTATTGTAAGCCCTAACATGGAGCTAATAATAAGGACCCTACACAAGAGTAGCTTCTAGTGGGTTAAGGTAGGGTGCAGGGCTTCAGGGTCCAGGGGAGCATGCAGGAAAACACTGTTGACGGTTGAGGGCGTGGGTGTTGGGTTTATTTCGAAGGCTTTGGAGGTGCTTGGGGTTGAGAGCTTCCTGGTAAGAGTACTGCTAATTGCAAACCTACTTGGAATGATAGACATACTACGACGAGTCATTTTTACCAATAAGAGAACTATAACGAATAGTAAAAATAATGAACCCTAAACCCAAAACCCCTAAACCCTAAACCACTAAACCCTAAAGTGAGTGCATCCTGGAAGAGTAGGCGGCCAGCAGTGATGCAGTCGTCCCCGAGGGCCTGAAGAAGAATAGGGTTTGAGGTTTAGGGTTTAGTAGGGTTTAGGGGTTTAGGGCTTATAGGGGTTAGGGGTTTAGGGCTTATAGGGGTTAGGGGTTTGGGTTTAGGGTTTAGGGCTCAGGGTTTAGGGTTTAGAGTGCATGAGCTATGTTAAAGCAGATTCTGGCTGGGAGACCGCAGTTTGGTACGGTGGCAAAAAGCATTTGTGTGGTCAGTTGCCTTTTTGGGGATTGCTGTGTTCCGCTTGAGCGCTAAGCTAGCAAAGGTTTCTATCTTTATAGCACCGATGAAGTCTCCCGGTATGACGGTATGATGCGGTCACTGACTTTTGATCTGGTCAAATTTAAGGGGCCCGGGGGCTGTAACGGAGAGGACAAAGCAGAGTATAACTGCTAAGCCCCGCACAACGAAAACAAACGCACTCTGCTAAGCATGGCGGGAATGATTCGCAGCACATTTTATAGCTTTTCGTTGTTTAGCTTGGGGCTCGAAGTTGGCGAGCCCACCCCATCTGGAGCCCAAACGGGGGTGTGGCGGGGGGGCCGAGCCAAGACAAAAGAGCCAAAACAAACATGCTTCGGAATGTCTCAGGGTGGGCGCAGAGGAGGGACGAGGGTAGGGGTTGGGATGGGCAAAGTGTCGCCAAGGCCCGCTTATCTCATGGTATACCATGGCCACACCCCCCTTATGGTACACCATGGGGGTGGAGCTGGGCTGGATGTGATTGATGGCGTTTTGCGGAGCAAAGTGACACCGAAGCTCGCTTATGGCATACCATTGCCCGGCCTCCCCTATGGCATACCATAGTGGTCGACCGTCGGGTCGACCACCATGGTATACCATGGTCTTTTTGTGCTTTACAAACCTCGACCACCAGGGTATACCACCAGTTGGTCTACCATGGTGGTCGATGTCTTATGGTATACCACGGGCCGGTGGTATACCAGAGGCGTGCCTTGTCGCATTTCCGGTACCTATCCCCAACCCACTCCCGCTTACCATGTCCTGCATACTATAAGGCCTTATGGTATACCACGGGCCGTTGGTATATCGTGCTCAGATTTCACCTACCTGTGCTCCCTGTCGCTGACCCAACCACACAGCCACCACACTCCACCACCAAGACCACCCTCGCCACATCTCCACCCCCACACTACACCCC